AGAGAGAGAGAGAGAGGGAGAGGGAGAGGGAGCTAAATAGAGACAGTTGAATGACATGGAAACACTGGCAAGTACACAGATAAAGCCGGGGATTATGCAATGAAAACAAAAGTCAACAAAAACAAAGAGGCGAACAAGCAGAGCCGACTCGAAGTCAATCACTCGGACATGCCGAACAAATTGTGTATTTTAAACGGATCTATCCGGTTCGACAGGGACACGGACACACAGCCAGACGCTGGCTGGCCATATGTGGGTTCAATCAAAAGCAATCGGCCACAACAATCGATGCTCTCAAGGCTGAGCGATTCTAATTACCAGAGAACCTAACGAAAATACATACATAAATATAGATATATACATACATATGTACATATGTATGTGCCCGTATATGTTATCGATATGAAAAATGAATACTTATCAAACACGACAAGCGAATAACAAACAAATTACCAACAATTGCCATTAAAATATGTTTTCATTAACGTTTAATTGAGTGGCCGAGAGGCCGAGCAGCAGCAAGCTGTTAGCCAGCAGGCGGAGGGATGAGGGGAGGCAGCCTATACGATTTTGCTATAAGCCAATGGCCAATGATTGTCAGCGTCGTCGAGTGTGATTGATTGATGTACGATAAGCGGCAGGGCAGCCAGCGAGAGCCGAGATTGCGCAGCTCGGTTCATTGGAATCTAAGCCCCGCACATAAAAGACAGAGAGAGAGAGAGAGAGAGAGAGAGAGAGACAGAAGTGGAGTAGAGCTGCCTGCCCCCATTGTTATGGCTATGGCGCACCCAAATTTGGTGATTCTAAGAGCAACAACAACCACACGGTTAGCTGCTGCTGCTGAGGCCACTTAAGCGCCCGCCGCCGAGATCAATTTGAGGCGATAAGATTAGAGGGCGGCCAAGCGAATTGTGTATGGAGCCAATTGAACGCCCACAGCGATCCCAAAATTCGCTACATAGAAGCATCGGACAATTTTTCACTACAGCTATGCACAGTGGGGCAAACTGATGATTAAGCGTGTAATTGTATTGTATGAAACTGACATAATTATGTATTATATAAATGTTATCTAGGCAGAGATGCCTGTAATGTACATATAATATAATCTTTCTGATATATCTGATGCTTAAGATTTCTATACAGCAAGACTCACTCGACAAGACTTCAGTCAGACTTGACTCTTACGCAACTCATTAAAACTGATAATATCCAATACTTCTCTTCTCATATCCTAACACTGTCGTATATATTCAATTCTTATATTATTCAACTCGGAAATTTACATAAACTTACATGGTTTTCTATGCCTTCGCTCCACTATGCCGCTTTGAGATCAGCTTAGCATAAGTACTTCTCTACACAACAAGAGACCCGCATATCCACTTCTGTGTACATAAATACAGGCATGCGCATGCGTGTCTGTGTCTGTGTGGTTAGCCGCTTGGTTGGGCTCACAAAATAGAAAAAAAAAAATACCATACCATTGCTGGGGATAGGTACAATGTACACACAAATAAGGAAGCAATTTGCCATGGCTCTGGGCTGGTGTGGAGTAGGAAACGAAATCTAAGCCATAGATGCGAACAAATTATGCGAGACGGCAACGCCAACGCCAACACCGAGCGTGAACGCAATTATAAACGAAAGACTTAAGCAACGAACGCGCTGCTGGCAAGCTAAGAATATTTTTGGCTTTGTGTATTACGGCGCCTTCGCTGATTGCGATCCCGCCCTGCCAGCATACCAAAAGCTCAGCCCCCCACAGATTAACTGTAGTTCGTATACCCACGCAGGTTGCCTGCCCCGCCAAACAGTTGCCAATGGTAACGAAACGAAGCCAAAGTGGCGCATGTCAAGGACATAGACGTGGGCAAAGGTGAGCCAAAAGCCAAAGCGCTGCATTCATTTGCATAACAAGCGACATGGCTAACAGCAAACGGCAAACGGCTAACAGCTAACGGTCAAAATGCCTAAGCAAACAATTGTGCAAATTGCGTCAAGATTGAGATTTGAGCGACTCGAGCACTGGAGCAAGCCAGCAGGGCCCATCAAGAGGTGCGGCTCACTCACCCAGTCACTCCGTCCGTCACTCAGACAGACTGTCAGGCCGTCAGACCGTCTGTCTGCTCAGTATAACAATAGCAGCTGCATGTTGCATGCCACCGAGCTGCTCTTCATATTTGCGGCCTGGCTGCTCAGTCTCGCTGCTTCTGGGTGACTTTGCTTTGCCATTCGTGGACTACATGAAGTTTTGCGTAAATATTTGCCATTTTTATCGATGATGCCCCATTGTTCATAGTCCAAAGAATAATAATAATGGCACTGTCCGGGGCACGGCCAGCCGTTGGGCAAACGCTCAGTCAGTTACATCAGAGATTTCGCAGTTTCGCAGTTTGGCAGCCAGCTGAAGACAAAGCCTAATGAACTTCCGTTTTGTCAATGATTTTCTGTGTCAGCTGCCAATTAATGCTTACGACTGAGAACTGGGCACAGCACAGCGCGCACATAAAGCGAGTAGACAAACGACATTTCCACTCACAGACAATGCACAGACACAGACGCGCCACGAGGCAATTAAATGTTACGTGAGCCCGGGCAGAAGACCGCGATTGGAGGGTCGGATAAGGCCTTTATTACACTATAATTGGGTTAGGCGTGAAAATGCGTACCAGCCCCATACCATACAATGGATGCATAATAAGCTGCCAGATAACGAATTTATGTCACTTTGCGCATAGAATCGGAATGGAGAAGCAACGAGTGCTTAGTTCATTTGAACTATTTCGACTCACTCTATATATGGCACGGATACGAATTGAGTCAAGCAGGCTGAGCCAATCAAGTCGAGCCAGAAAATATATTTGTGTCTCTGTTTCTGGTCTCTTGGCTGTTTCATCTCTGGTCCCTTATCGCTTGCCTCTGGTTTCAGGTCTCGGTGTTTTCTATCCCTTATCTCTTTTGGCTTCTCCCTTGTCTTTGTTCCTTGCTTCTTGTAATTGATCTCTTGTGCTCAGTCTCTCTCTCTCTCTCTCTCTTTCAGAGTCTCACTCCCTCGCCATCCCTCCCGTTTGTACTCTTTCTATCTTTCTAAGACTTTCTCTCTCTCTCTCTCTCTCTCTCTCTGCATACATCTCTCTATCAGTGTCTGATCATCCTTTTCACTCTTTCTCTTATGCCATTTTATCTTTTTCTAATTTTCTCATCTTCTCATGTTCCCCATGTTTTCGTACTCTCATCTCATTCTCTCGCTCTCCTTCTTTTACTTTCGTCACATTCTGTTGTTCCCCCTATTTTCCCATTCCCTCGTTCGGTCGCTTTCTCATTTTCTCATTCCCTCTTCTCTCTATGTCTCTTTTGATCTCTCTTTGTCATTCGCTCTATATATTCATCGCTCTCTCTCTCTCTGTCTCTCCCTCCTGCCTCCCTCTCTTTCTCTTCTCTTCTCTTCTCATCTCTATCTATGTATTCATCTCTTTTTACCTCTCGAACAATTCTATGAGAAATCCGATGTACTCTATATATTTGCATATGTATTTCGTTTTACTACAATCCATGTTTGGTTTTTATGGTTAATTGTTCAACTGTTAATAGTTGACAGCTTGCGTATTCAATGATAAAGTTGTTTAGCCAGCAAGAACAAGAACAACAACAGCAACAACAATCAAACAACAGCTAAAACTAACAAGATACTTTATAATCAATTCATTTGTGTGCATATCACAGCCGAGTGCCAACGACTACTGAAAAACCCCATGAATAATTCCTCAAGTACGAAATTCGTATTTGAATTTGAAATCGAATTAAGTGCAGCATTTGCATACATTAAACGAGCGAATGATGGACATTAACATGAGCCGCTGCGCAGCGCGCTGGCAACTTAATTATGGAGTTTATAGCCAGGCAGAACTCGGCAGCTGAAGTCGTACGCCTACGCAGAGTTGCAATTGGAGAATGTGTCGCCCACGGCATTACCAATTGGGGGGACTGAGATGGGCCACAGCCAAATGGACAGCAGGTCCACGGCAACAACAACAACAACAGCAGCAGCAACAGCAGCAACAGAAATCAACCAAAATCAAGTTCTTCTCAATTACATTGCGATGTCTTGAATCTTTTGGGGTATTCGGCGCTCAAGTGCAGCACTTGACAACGCGATTAACTCGCTCGACCGTTGACTGCGACTGCGACTGCGACTCTGGTTGTGGCTGTGGCTGTGGCAATCTGCCCTCCTGCCCGTCAGATTGCAGTGATTGTTGTTTTAATTAACGAGCTCGGCTGAAAAATCAATTGGTTTCGCTCAGTCGCATTCGCAGTCAAGATCTTTCTTGAGCCAAGCTGCCCCACTTGAGCATTGGATTTCATCTCTACAGCCAGCTATGGAAGACATTGAATTGCTGTCGCTGCCGATGTTGTTGTTGCTGCTGCTGCTGCTGCTGCTGCTGCTGCTGCTCCAAATGTTTAATACACTTGCAATAAGTATTTGCTTTATGACTGCCGTTTGTTTTGGCTTCTTTATTAGCACAAATGAGCTCGCATTTGCTATTCGTGTAGTTACTTCATAAAGCCAAACATTCTCATAAACATGCCAAGCGAACAAGGCCCCGCAGCACCGCCTCCCCCATCGGCGAGCTGCTGGTAGCAAGGTTAGACAACTATGCACATACTTATTTGATTGAATGTAAACAGATCAAAAGATATGCGTACTTGAGCGAGCTTGGGATGAATACAAATTCAAACTCAAACTCAAGCTCAAATTCAAATACTTTGGCTGACTCGCGCTCGACTCGTACGATCAAGAATGATGCGATATTAGATTGGTAGTCTATAAGAAATTTATTAAACTATTGCAGATTTTCCCAATTTGATATATACTCAGAGCTTTATCCCGAAAAGTGTGCGAAATTTGGTAGTTGAGGGCCGAACCGAGGTGAATGGAATCAGAAGTGACCGTTGATAGCGATGCGCAGTTAGCTGTTACAGCGCATAGCGTTCGTGGCCAACAGCATCAGCATGGACGTCATGGTCTCTACGGCTCTACGATTCTAGGAGAAGCGCATGCACTTGGCCTTCTGGGTGTACGTGACGGCGCCATATTCCTCGACAATTTGGTCGATTGCGATCTTGTTGAGGTTCTCCAGGTAGAGGCGAGTCTTGCGCGATTGGATGATGTAGCTGATGACGTCGTGCATGTTGGTGAAGAAGAGGAAGCCGGCGGTGCCGCAGCTAAGGTCCAGATAGCGGAATCGATTCACGTCGCATGTGCAGCCATCGTAGAGGAAATAGATGAAGTCGCTGTTGTTGTGGAACCGGAACACCACATAATTGCCCCAGGGCGCCATGACAAAGACGCGTTCCGCACAGCGAAATCCGGCGCGCAGTAGCTTACAGATGCTATCGTAGCATCCATTCTCGGAGCCAACAACGGCCATCGTTTCCGGTATACGCAGCAGAGCCGGGTAATGATTGGGCTGTGCGCGGAGCACATCATGTGGCCCGGTGGAGTCGGGGCATGGATCCAATGGCTGTATCAGCTTCGGTTGCTCGGGGCACACGGGGCACTCTGGGACAACCGCCTGTGGTATTGCGACAATGGTTGGCTTCTTCTTCTTGCCCTTGCCCTTGCCCCCCTTGCCTTTGCCTTTGCCCTTTCCCATCTTACACGATTATCGCAAGAAACTGTATCGAAAACGTTGCCAGAACCTAAATGCTCCTTTCCATAATGTTCGGCGTCAGAACCCAAGAGAAATGTCTATTGCCTACGAGGGAAAAGTGAGGGAATTATTATCGCGTGTGAGGCAGCTGCAGCGGCTGCGGCGGCTCACCCGAAACTGGTTGAACGCGACGAACGAAAATTTATTTACTGAATTTGGTGAACAAATTTTGTAATTTGGAATTTTATTTTATATAATTTTTCTGACGTTGTGATTTTGTGTAACTTTTTACTATTTCAATTTTGGTGTATTTTTGCTTTTTCAACTGGATGCCGAAAAACGAGAATTTTTCAGGAAATTTATTTCCTATTTTTTTCCGAGAATTTTATTTTTGTTTGTACACATGCACAACCAGTTCTGATTCTGAAATAATGATCTGTGCCTTTAGGTAGACTGCCTCGAAAGGCGAATTTCCAGTGCCTACTTGGATGGAAACCGAAGTTTTGCCAAATTCCAGATTATCCAAGCAGGCCGAGAGTGTTCCGGGGCGAGTCTCGGTTGTGTTTTCTCCTGAAGTTGAATTCATTTCTCAGAGTTTTCATTACGTATGTATATATTGAATTGATTTCTTGGTTCCCTAATCAAATTCAAATTCAATTCAACTTGGCTGAGCCTGCGGCAGCATTCTAATTGATTTCGCTAGCTAAGGCCGTGCGATTGTTTGCTTTGAGCTGGCCGACTCGCGTCGGATGGCGGCGCATCAGGCTGCATGCTGAAGTGCAATTTAGTTGCCTGTCAAACTGATAACTCGCACAGTGTGGCAAGCGCGCGCATGCAAATGAGCAAATGACCAAACACGAAATGCCAATTAATTAAGCCGTTAGTCAAGGAGCTGCCGCGGCCTTCGCTGCTCCAAGACAAATTCTTGGGAAATCGAACGTGAAGCACGATTGCAAAAGGATCCTCTAGCAACGGCAACAACAACTGCCAGCTGACACGCTAGTGACATCAAACACCACACACATACACACACACACATAGAACGGCTGTGGGCAAATGCAAAAGTGAATGGCTGCCATAGCAATTAAAATCTGTTGGCGTTAAAGACCCTTGCCGCCGACCAAAATGAAAACAACAACAAACTGTGAAAAAGCATAAAAATAATTAATTGAAATCACTTGCTGCAGGAATAGCCGACTGGAAAGAATTCCAGATTTATGTTGAAGCGACGACGATTAAATACTCTAGAAATATTTAATAAATATTTATATGAGCTCTTCAATCTTGTTGAACTCTAAACAAGATAAAATGACTTTATAATTATATTTTTAAAATATTACTCATATTATATTTATTAATATATAAGTATTACATTTATTATACTGGCTTGGATTATATTTAAATAATATATTTTTCTTCTATCCAATGAACCACATTTTGTTGATATTAAATTATTATTTTGATTACAATATAAAATATATATAGCCATAAAATAAATTGGGAATATTTTGTTTCTTAGGCCTAGGCCAAAACTAAAGTAACTTACTCATGCATAGGACCGATAAGTCGTTACACATTTCCTATAGATATTTGATTAGCCATTCATAGAGTATATACAAGCAAGGAACCTGTTGCATATGGGTTCGCTCCTAACTACAATATGAAATATTGAACATGCAAATCTGCGCACAATGGCGAAAAATTATTTATTCAATTACCTATGCGCAATTACCGAATAGCTGCTTGACGCCGCCGCCGCACAGTGGTGCGAAAGCGATTTGTAGGTAATTATGTTCAAATAAATGCGAGCAACAAAATAATACAACTTAAGTTTTAATAGAAAATGTAACAGAAATATTGATTTTAGTCCAAGCTGAACTTAATTATTATTATTATTATTATATAAACAATGGTAAATATGATTAATATTTTATGATAATATATATTCTATTATTCTAACATTTTTCTTATTCTTCTCAATACTTATAATTTTTAATATATAAACAAAATATTAATAGAATAAATATTTTTATATTTAGCATTTTTATTATTTTTGTCAATATTCAAATATTTGCAAGCAAATTTTTGGTCAATATATATATATTCAAATATTTGCATACATAAGAAAAATATTAACAAAATATATTATATTATTTTAAGACTTTTTCTATTATTCTCAATATTTCAAAATTAATAAATATATATTATTTCCACATTTTTCTTCTTCTGTTAAATACTCAAATATTTAGTTTTTTTTTTTCCAATATTCAAGTATTTACATATTCCAACTGTTTTTCGTCATTATGATTATTAATTTAAATTAAAATATTTTAAATTATTTCCGCAATTTTCCTATTCTTCTCTATATTTAAATATTTGCATACATAATTAAAATATCAGCCAAATATATATTATATTGCTCCCACATTTTTCGTATTCGATAATTTCCTTACATTTTGGCCAATTGTTTCAACTGTCTTTCGCAACATGCAAAAACTTCCTCGACTCTAACTTATTGCCACGAAATGTTGCCGCTACATGGCCCGCTGTTTATATGGCCTCAGCCATATTTCTGCAGCTGACATAACTGTTAAAAAGTATTGGCTCTCCTAGGAGTTTTACGGTCTGTGATTTCAGGCTTTCCCCAGCGGCCTGTCCCACTGTGCAGGGGCAAGTGCCTGGCTGCCAATGGGATGGTGCAAGCTCAACTGGGCGCCAATCCAAGATCCAATCCCACATCCAATCGCTGACTAAGCCCCGAAACGTGGCTCAAACGGGGTCCGCAACTCGTCTAGACGAATCGGCATTTGCTCGCGGCTCGCTCTGGGCTGCCGGCGTTAATGTTTTTATGGCTGTCCGATTTGGTTTTGGTAATTTCTTATGCACAATTTGCATCATTAATTTGTTGAATCAGGAGGCAATTGGCTGGTGGCTGGTGGCTAGTGGCTGCTGGCGAGTGGCGACGGCCTGGCGATAGTGAGCCATGGTCAGCAGTTGTATGTGTAAGCGCATCTTGCCTACGACCGGAAAAGTCAGCAGCCAGATGCCACCGGCCAGGAATAAGCGGCGGCTCAGCTTGCCACACAACCTGCGCGCCCAACCACAGGCAGCTCGCATTGCAGCATCGCGCTTGCAGCAGAGCCAGACATGTGCAAATATTAACTGAGCAGCCGTGTAGATGCCATTGGCGTCGTCTTGGTGCCCCATCTTCAGCTGGCAGTCGGCAACGACAGCGCACCGAAAGCAGAAAGCCACAGCAGCTGCAATGACAATGCAGCCAGGTTTCTTCGCTGGATCTTTCGCTTCCGCCAGGTCGCTTGGGGTCTGCTCGCTGGCTGTTGTCGACGTCGCGTTGGCTTGTTCAACTGAAATTTGATTGCTTCATCTTCAACTTGATGCTGCCAGTTGCATAGAGCTTAGCTAATAGGCCAGCATCAGACGACGCCTCGCTCAAGCCACGAGTCTCGTATATATACATATATTTTGCGGTCTCCGTGTTTATTTTACTATGGCTGAAGCGGCACTTGCCCATGAGTAGGACTCCAGCTCCGACTCCCCCATATTCCTCTCTAAATATGCGACTCCCAGCCTCATTATGTAAGCTCTCGCTGTTGCAGTCGCCGCCGCCGTCGCCGTCGCCGTCGCAGTTGGCGGTCGTAAATCCAGGTCATTGCAATGTGGGAGTCAAAGTGTATAAATATCAGACTTCCCTTTGAATGCTGCAGAGAATCGATGCGGCAATATATGCGCTTATTTGGACAAGTGTTTACTCTATGGACTAATTGATTGACAAACATTCCGCGTATTTGCGAGTGGAAAAGAGAAAATAGGAAATGGAAAAATTATTTTTGACGTGTAAACAAAAGCCAACTTAGTTAAAGAATTAAGAGCAGATACCCTGTAATATATAAATTATTAAGTAATAATATAAATTATGAATTATAAAATATAAATATAAAATATAATATATAAAATATAAAATTTAAAATATAAAATATAAAACATAAAATAGAATATAAAATATAAAATATAATATAAAATATATAAAATATAAAATATAAAATATAAAATACAAAATATAAAATATAAAATATAA